GCCAGCACCGTGGAACAGCTGGGTTCTCACCTGTCCTTCCCACAGTCTGGGTCCAGCTTAAATGAGCGACCTGCCCATGGGTCCTTTTCTCTGCATTTCCAGGCTTTCTTCCTTCCCCATCTGTTCACACGGGCCGAGCCCTCCATCTAAGACAGTAGTTCTCAAACTGTGGGCCACAACCCCCTTGGGCAAAAATATTTATCTCCAAAAATATTTACGTTATGATTCATAACATTCAATTCAATAGCAAAATTACAGTTATAAAGTAGCAATAAAAATAATGTTATGGTTGAGGGGGCGCTAAACACAACATGAGGAACTGTAGGTACTGAAGGATCTCAGCTTTAGGAAGCTTGAGGAACGCTGCTCTAAGGGACTTTCAACCATCCAGTAAGGAAGCCACAGGCATTTGTGGCTATTGAGTGGGGTCCTGAAGTATGATTGGTGCCCCTGAAAACCGAGTTTCAATTTTATTTAACTTTAATTAATTAAAATGTAAATACCATACCATACCAGAGAGCACCTGAATGAACTACCACCACCACAACCAAAACCCAAGGCCCTGAACTGAACTCAAAGTTCCAGGAAGCAGCTGCTGGGGGATTGCAGGAGAAAGGCAGCTGACCCCGACCCTCTGCTTACAAAAGGAGGCAGTAGAGCATGCGGTCTCAAAAACAGTGTCTAGGGAGAGCAGCTAACTCCCCATTCTGCCCCTAACTTAAACTCTCTTTCCCCTTCCCTGTCCTCAGCTACAGAAACCCCAGCCTAAGGCTTGTAATCTGCTTTCTCTTGAATTCTGTCATTGTGTGTCTGGGTCTTATCTCTTGCTCATGGTGTGGCCAGAGCTATGGATGACATCTCTCTGGCATGAAATCAAGCCTGCTCTAGCTGTCTGACATTACCTAAATTCTCATCTTTTATTTATTCCTACAAACTTAATTCTTACTTATCCTAGCAGAGACCTAGCATGGAATTGGTCTCATGTTTTCCTATCCAAATGCTCAACCTCTAAGAGTATCTGAGGGACAAGTTTCTCCTTGAGACCTAGTCTTAACCTTTCTTTCCTTTTTTAAAATTCACACCACATATTGAAGCGCTTCATTACTGTAGCCCTAATACATGTTATGATTTAAATCGTGTCTTGGAAACTCAGTGTCCAGATTCACATGGTACTTGTATCTAAAAGCTGGGCTTTTAGGAGGTGCTGTGGTTTGAATATGAATGTCTCCCAAAGGCTCACGGGTCTGAATGCTCTGTCTCAAATGGTAGCACTGTTTTAGGAAGCCGTGGAATCTCTGGGACATGTGGCCTGGCCAGCACACGCAGTCACAGGGGTTGGCTTTAAGGGTTCTATCTACTTACGGTCCTTGCCTGAGCTTTCTGCCTCAGCCACACACGCCTGCCAATGTCAACTCTTCCCCACTATGCCAGACTAAAACTATCAACCAAAAGAATTTCTTTCTCCTTTAAGTTGCTTCAATCAAGAATTTTGTCACAGCAACACAAAAGTAACCAATACTGGAGACAATTAGGAGACAGGATGAGATGAGGTCCAGGCTCCTTGACTTCCCAGCCCCTGAAACCACCATCCGGCACCTGTGCCCAAGGTATCTGCTCAGCTTCCCAGAAGGCTGGAGACCAAGCTCCGTCGTGCTGACAGTCAGCTGTGTCAGCTCTGTAAAACCTTTGTGCCTTGATGGGTTGGGTGAGAGTCACTGTTCACACATCCTTTTTGGGGAAAGCGAGCACAGCGCATGGAGGTCTAACGGGAGAGACGACTCAGAGTTCTGCATCTGCCTCCCCACCCTCCTGTGCACGTCTTCTCTTTGTTGACTCCAGTTTATACTAGAATAATAAATTGCGGCCATGAAGACAATGGCTCTTCCGCGCTCTGTGAGGCCACCTAGAACATTGGTTCTCAACCTGTGGTCGTGACCCCCTTTGAAGATCAAATGACCCTTTCATAGGGGTCGTATATCAGAGATCCTGCGTATCAGGTATATATATTTAAATATTTTATTATTTTATGCATGAGTGTTCTGTCTGCATGTATGTCTGCATGCCAGAAGAGGGCATCAGATTCCAGTACAGATGGTTGTGAGCTGCCATGTGGTTGCTGGGAATTGAACTCAGAACCTTTGGAAGAGCAGACTGTGCTCTTACCAGCTGAGCCATCTCTCCAGCCCTGTATCAGATATTTTTATTATGCTCCATAACAGTAGCAAAATTACAGTTACAAAGTAGCAACAAAAATAATTTTATGGTTGGGGATGTCACTCCAACATGAAGAACTGTGTCAAGGGGTCACAGCACTAGGGGGTTGAGAGTCATTATTCTAGAGAATTCTTAAATCTCAGGATAGCCCCGGACGCTTGCTGAACTTGCACGTTGCGGTGGTTCTTCGGCTGGCCTGGCTGAGGCTGCTGGGTCCTGCTTTATCACACAGCCTTGGAACTGTTGGGCTAGAAGCCACAGCTGAGGTCAAGGTGGGTGGCTGAAGATGGCCAATCTTCAGCCTGGTCCAGGGACTGCTGGAACTCTTGGACCCAGTTGACAGAGATGTACATTAGGGAATGGAGGAAGCAGAGCACGGAGAGATTCTGGAGAAGGAGCGGGGCTGTGGGGGCCAATGATGCTGAGATCAGGTAGCTACAGCAGGCCCCTCCCTGGCTTGGAATTCATGGAAGTTTCTGGTGTGTCTGTGTGCCTGCTCCTCAGAACCAACTCCTGTCCTAGGGTCACATGCTGTGGGGCAGACTCTAAAGCCAAAACTTACTTAATTTGAAGGAAGGTGTTGCCCTCCTTGGTGGATCATTTTTCTACTCTTGACTAGATACCCAGCCCATTACAGGAAGCTGCTGAGGACAGTGAGAAAAGGCAAAGCACTGTCCTTCAGTAAGCAAGGATCCGAAGGGAGACATTCCCTCCTGCTCCTCCAAACAAATACCCAAACACCCAAAACCTTCTGACCCCAGAAGCTCTGACCTAAAGGAAGAACTTCATATCAAAATCATATCCTTTATACCACCCAAAATTTTGATAGAGATTTTCTTATATTTTCTAGCAATCTCCCACCACAATTTAGTGTCAGCTAAATAAGTCAGGTTACCTTCTTAGCTCTGACTCAGCTGCAGTAGAAGAAAGACCCACACTTGAAGAAGTAAGAAGTCGTGGGCAGGAGGAGCCAGGTGCAGTGGCACACACCTTTAATCCCAGCACTCTGGGAGGCAGAGGCAGGTGGATCTCTGTGAGTAGGCCAGCCTGGTCTACAAAGTGAGTCCAGGACACCCTGGGCTACACAGAGAAAAAAGAAAAGAAAGAAAAATAAAGAAAAGAGAGAGAAGAGGAAGGAAGGAAGGAAGGAAGGAAGGAAGGAAGGAAGGAAGGAAGGAAGGAAGGAAGGTGAGAGAAGAAGTAAGGGGGGGGCAGAGTCACCCTAGAGTGTAGGACCCTTCTGCTTGGTAGGTAGCATCCCTGGGGTGGGGTCTGGACTTGAACACAGAGATAATGGTAGTGATGGTGATTAAGGACACTGCTTTGCTGAGGAGGAAAGGGATGAATCTGAGACAGGAAGTGAGGGGCTATCTAACTAGACCCAGGTCCCAGTCTCTCCAGGACCTGTGCTTTCTCCAGTGCTCAAGTCCTGTTATTCTCCGCCCTCAGTTCATTCCAGAAGGATATTGTGCGACCAAAAGAATTAAAAGCTAAATTTTTGGGGTGCTGAGCTAAAAAGTTTAAAACCTGTCAGGCCAGTTGACCTTGCTGCTTCTGGGCAGATGCAGCCAGCTGCTGGGAAGGGCTGACCTTGCTGCTCATGAGAGGTTCTGTTGCCTGGAAACCGGCCTGGATGGCCTCGCTCCTGGAGATAATCGCCCCTTTCCCCTAGCAGCCGTCTAGCAGTTCAGGACTGAAACCCAAGGCCAGCGCAGGACCAGACCAAAGCCCAAGGTCAACTGTTTCCCCTCACCCACCCCCACTCCCACCCCCCAGCAAACAGAACAAAGAAAGCCAGAACTGTTCATGGTCCTGGCACTTTTCCATAGCAAACAGTGTTGAAATGCAGCACCCCCTTTTCTGTATTACCAATAGAAGGTTGCCAGGCTACACTCCTCTGCTTTGGGCGTGTTGGAGGGACCGGGACCTCTAAATCACCCACAGTCTGGAGCTCAGCTCGGGGCTCTCAGCTGGATGCCAATGCCTTGGTGTCTGTGAGAGTCCAGCTCCAGCTGTGGATAAGATCCTCCCGTGTTTTGCAATGGACTCGACTGGTGGAGGTCCTTTGGGGATCTCCCAAATTGGGCACAACAATGTCTCAGGGGAGAAACGCTGAGCCGGCTTCCCAGTCTCGCGAGAGCCTGGAAATGCTTTCTTACATAGAGTAAAAACACCAGGAAACAGGAAGGGTCTGTGGGTGTATGAGGCGGAAGCAGAAATACATTGTGTGTGTAGAATGAGCATAGCTTAGAGAAGCTCAAGAAAGGGAAAGACTACTCGCTCATTTCCACAGTTCTAGGCACAGGGCGGGGGACTGAGTGTTTAATGAATGATTGAATGAATAGGGAAAAGAATAATTTCCTCTAGCATTTATAAGATCATGTCAGTTGCCAGTTTTGTGTAGGCCAGATCACTTCCTGTCTCCGTTCTGGGAGGTTTTTTTTCCTTCCCATGTAGGCACTTAATCCAACTGGGTAAATTCACAGATTTTTGCATCCGGTTTCTTACCCAGAATGCCCCCTTGGCTTGTCATTCATTGTCTTCTTCCCATACTGAGCATCTCAGGACATCTGGAGGCATTTGAGTCTTTTCTGAGACGTCAAAAGTGTGACGTGGAATAGCATGAACTAGGAAAAGACCCATGAAGACGAGGTGAGGGCAGCTGGAGGTCCCCGGCTCCTTCAAGCCAGGAAGAGCTACTTGGCTGGTGTAGGAAGTGTGCTCACTGAGTCCATATATCCTTCAAGGAATGTCCATGCCCTTTCCTAGACACAGCCTTGGAATCCCTAGGAAAACACTGACCAATAAATAAGGTTGAAAAATATATATGAGGCTGGAAATATCAGCCTGGAGTACTTGTCAATGGCGTGGGTATTCTGGAAGATGTAAAGCCCCACTTGGCCTTTGAGAAAGCCTTTCTTTCTGGAGGATGTCAATTCACTGTTGAGAGCCAAATGAACCACTATTTTGTCTTGCCTTTCTTCTTCTGGCAGAATATGGCTTCGTGGGTAGCCAGCCAGGCTATTAGCCTCAGATTCACTGTAGCTTCCATCCAGCATCATGGTTCTCGAGTGAAGCATTCCACACATGCATGGAAACTACAGGCAGCAAACAGAAAGGGCTCAGTTAGATCTTGAAGATGGGAAGGGAGCTGGCCTAGTCACAGAGACCCATTCTACTCCGGTGTCCAGAGATATAAGGAGTTCAGAGAGCACTGAGTACAGTAATTCTCTACTCTCGCTGCACATTAGGGCCACTCTCAGATCCATTCCAGGCTAGCTTTAAACTTCCAAACTATTCTGCAATTTCCTCACAACTGAAACATGTCATCCTGCAGGGCAGCTTGTTAAGACAAGAAATAAACACGTTACAACAATTTCAGGAAGTTCCTGAAACTGAGCACCCCCTCCCTCCTGGGTATAAGAGCAGTGAAGACCACTGACAAGCCAAGCAGAAGAGGAGTCTGACACAAACCGAGCTCCAGGAAAGAAGCAGAGATCCCAGGAAGTGCCTGGGGAGGAAAAAAACAAAGACCAACCTAGCTGCCTTCAAGAGGCGCCGACTAAGCGGAACACCTGGAAAAGACGTTTTCCAACCCACTGAGCTGGCTGCAGGCTGCCTGGTACCCTAGAGGGGCCCAGCTCTTGTGACCTGTCACTCATGAGGTGGCTTTAGTGATGCAGCTGTCCTTGAGTCGTTTCTGCCCCCATGAGTGACCCCTCCTCCACATTCCTGTAATTAATCCCAGTAAAACATTACTCCAGCAAGTTTGACTTTGGTGGCACCTGTACTTTGGTCTGCCATGGGCTAACTATCTGCTGCAAGTAGACTCTGTGTGTGGGCGGGGGGGAGCGGGGGGGCGGGGGGGAGGCATTTGTGTGGGCGTGTCTGTGTTTTGTCTTCCCAGGACAACAACTGTGCAGCCAGAATTGAGACCCACTGATCCGGCCCAGCCTCAGAGGTAAAAACTGAGACCGGGTGCTACCCAGTTCTCCTGAAGCCAGGAAGCAAGTCTAGCCCCGGATTTATTTTGCGTGTTTTGTTTGACATGGAGCTCTCTGTGCAACCAGAGAATTCTCACAAGTCCTCTTCCTAAGCCATGAGCACTTAGGCCAGGACTTGAAATCTTTGCATTCTGTGCTGGGATCCACCTCAGTGTTCATGAACCACGAAAAAAGGAAAGAAAGATTAGGAAAGGCTGGAGATGCCCTCAGTAGCAGAGCACTTACCTGGTAGGTGCAAGGTTCTCAGTTGTTCTGTCCCCAGCAATGAAAAAACTTAAAGCAAAGAGTGTCCTTATTTCAAAGTTGCATTTGCATAAGAGTTAAGGGTCGTAAGTGGGCACAGTGGCACATATATGTAATCCCAGCATTCCGGAAACAGGCAGACAGACCACAAGTTTGAGCCAGCGTGGGCTATTTGTGAGAGACCCTGCCTCTTTACAAACAAACAAACAAACAAACAAATAAATAAATAAATAAATAAATAATGAAAGAGTTGGGGGTTATGGTGCCTGCACTGAATTTTAAAATAATGAATTAATTTGTATGTGGTGGTGGAAAACTTGTGAACACAGAGGCCAGAGGAGGATGTTAAGTATCTTCTTGTGTTAGTCTCTACCTCATTCATTCACTCACCTACTCACTCATTTTGAGACAAGGCTCACTATGTAGCATGTGGCCAGCCTGGAACTCACTGTGTGGATCAGACTGGCCTACAACACCGAGATCCACCTGCCTCTGCTTCCCAAGTACTGGGTTTTCAAGATGTGGGTGGCCACACCAGGCCCTTTATTCTTAGTATTACGATTAATTATCTGTATGCTGTGCATCTGTATGTGGGTATATTGGTGTGACAAGTGCCCACTGAGGCAGGAGTTGCGGGTAGTTGTAGCTGCCCTCTAGTCATCTACAAGAGCGGTGCACACTCTGGAGTCATCTCTCCAGCCCCCGCCTTGTTTTTTGAAGCAGGTTCTCTCATGGAACCTGAAGCTCACTCTCTTGGCTAGGCTGGATGGCAACAGGCTACCTCAGTCCATCTGCCTCCTGTCCCCAGCACTGGAGCTACAGGCATGCGTGGACTCAGGTCCTCTTACTGTCACGGGAAATGCTCTACTTGCTATGCTGCCTCCAGAACCCTTATGATGCATTTCAAAACAACCCAACTGAACCAGCAAAAGGCTGAAAAGCACAGTTGCTGGAGGGCAGGTGGTGGGGAGACAAATATCTTCCTGCTGGCCCACAAGAGAAGCACTGTGACTGTTAGACTGTTCGCAAAGTAGTAGCTGAACACAGTTAGATGAAGGTTTTGTTTTTTAAAATAGAAAAATGAAGGATTATCGAGCAAAAGTATTTAAATAGGGGGCAAAGAGATGGTTCAGTGGTTAAGAGGCCTTGCTATTCTTGCAGAAGACCTAGGTTCAAAGACCAGCACTCACAATAGTTGACAGGTCGATAATTTCAGTTCCAGGACATCTGACATGCTCTTCTGACCTCCTCAGTTACCAGGCATGTGCGTGGTGGACATACATACACAGGTGTAAAACACTCAAACACATAAATAAATCTAAGAAAGAAAGACTACTTAAAAAGTCCTTAGATGGCGCTGGAGTGATGGCTTGGTGGTGAAGAGCAACCTAGTGTATTTGGAGGAAGAGAAAGGCCACTTCTCAGGGTGATGGGCAAGTCTAAAGGCTGCTAGAAATCACTCCTGGTTACAATGCCAGGTTCTTATTGTGAGCATTCCTTCTGTGTCCATTTTCCTGTAAATAAGAAAGGGTGGGAGTGGAGATTTAACCCCTAGTTGGCAACTATTGATCAACTTGCTGTTGACTCCCTGGCTACCTTAAGCAAAAGCATCCCTTCATAATAAAAGTCCTGGAAAGATTAGGGACAAGAAACATACCTCAACATAATAAAGGCAATTTACAGCAAATAGCTAGCATCAACCTAAACAGAGAATTTAAAACAATTCCACTAAAATCAAGAACACGACAGGTTGTTCACTCTCTATACCTTCTCAGTATAATAGTTGAAGTCTTAACCAGAATAACAAGACAATCGACAGATCAAGATACACACAGAAAGGGGAGAAGTCAAAGTGTCCTTATTTGCAGATTAGATCTTTATCAACTATATATCAACTATATATCAAAGACTACATCAGGAAACTTCTACAGCTAATAAATTCTTTCAGCAAAGTAGCAGGATACAGAGTTGACACAAAAAAACCAGCAGCTTTCCTATATACATATACAAATGAAAGACTGAGAAGGAAATCAGGGAAACAGGACCTTTCAAAATAGCCTTAAAGTTTGTTGTTGTTGTTGTTGTTGTTGTTTTTGAGATAACTCTAACCAAGCAAGGGAAAAACTTGTGTAATAAAAACTTTAAGATATTGAAGAAGCTTTCAGAAGATGGGAAGATCACCCATGCTCATGGTTCAGTAGGATTTATACAGTAAAAGTGGCCATCCCTAAGAAAATTCAATAGTTCAACACAAACTCCATCAAAATTCCAACGGGATTCTTCACAGATACTAAAAAATCAGATTTCACTTCATGTGGAAACAAACAAGCAGGATAACTAAAACAATCTTGAATAATAAAAGAACTACTGGAGGTATCACCATCCCGGATTACAGGAGTACAAAGCTACGTGTGTGTGTGTGTGTGTGTGTGTGTGGTGTGGTGTGTGGCATGTGGATCAATGGACTAGAATTGAAGACCAGGCACAAGTCTACACACTTATGGATACCTATGTTTAATGAAGAAACCAAAAGCATACACTGGAGAAGAGACAGCATCTTTGGCAATTGAAGCTGGCAAACCACGTGGCCACGTGTAGAAGAATGTAAATAGACCCAGACAGATGACCCTGCATAAAGCTCTACTCTAAATGGATCAAGACTTCAACATAAGACCTTCAACCTGAATCTGATAGAAGAGAAAGCGAGAATTAGGCTTGAACTCACTAGCACAAGAAAGGACTTTCTAAACAGGACACCAACAGCACAGGCACTAAGAACAATTAGGAAATGGACCTCATGAAGCCATCAAGGATACCATCATTTGGAAGAAGCAGCAGGCTACAGAATGGGAAAAGATCTTTATCAACTATATATCTGATAAAAGGTTGATATCTGGAATACATTAAAAAAAAACTTTAAAAAAACCTGAACATCAAGAAGACAAGCCAATTTTTAAAATGAGGTACAGAATTAAGCAGAGAGTTTTCAAAAGATGAAACACTTAAATGTTCAATGTCCTTGGCCATCAGGGAAATGCAAAACTGCTTTGCAATTTCACTTTACCTCAGTAAGAATGCTTAAAATCAATTAAAGAAATAACAGGAGCTATTATGGATGGCTCAGCGGTTGAGAGCACTGGCTGCTTTTCCAGAGGACCCAGATTTGGTTCCCAGTACCCTCCTGGCAGCTCACAACAGTCTGCCTCCATTTCCAGAGGATCTGACACCTTCACACAGACATACATTCAGGCAAAATGCCAATGCATATAAAATAAAAAGTCATTTAAAAAAATAAACAAAATGACAGCTCATGCTGGCAAGGAAGCTGGGAATGGTGAACAGGCTAGTCACTCCCACTGCTGATGGGAGTGCAAGCTTGCACAGCCACTATGAAAATCAGTGTTGCCATTTCTCAGGAATCTGGGACTAGAAATACCTTAAGATCCAGCTATACCACTCCTAGACATATATCCAGAAGACTCTACATTCTATTATAGAGACACTTGATCCTCTGTGCTCTTTGCTGCTCTATTTGTAACAGCCAAAAACTGGAAATAACCTAGATGTCCATCAACTGATAAAGATAATGAAAATGTGATACATTTACACAATGGACAATCCAGCTGTTAAGAAAAATGAAATTATAAAAATGGCAGAAAAATGTGTAGAGCTAAAAAAAAAAAAAAATCATCCTGAGTGAGGTAAGCCAGACCAAAAAGACAAATATTGTATGTTTTCTCTTATATGTGGATGTTAGCTTTTTAGGCCTTTAATATGTGCCACAATCTGAGTAACCACAGAGGTTAGGGACTTAGTAACGAGAGGATCTCCCAAAGAAGGGGAACTAGAACACAGTTTTATGGAGAGACAAAGAGGAAACTCGATAAGATTAAAATAGGGAGAGGGTAGGAGAAAAGAAGGGAATGGAGGCAGGGACAACTAACAGTAATTGTCTTTGAAAAATCACATGGAAACCTACTGTTGTAGAAGTTTCCAAAGTTATATACATACATACATGTATAGAATATATATATATATATATATATACAGAATCTAAATGGAGTCACCAAGTAATAAGGGAGAAAATGCTCCAACTAGACATCTTATGCCAACAAATCAAACCAGTACCAGGAACGGATCCATCTTTTCAAGTCTTCAGACAAAGAGGCCCCATAGAAACCCCAAACATCACACACAGGCTATTGCCAAGGCTTTTGGTTGCTTTCTACGACTGGATGGTAAGACGCTATTGCTGAAGATAACAGTTACCTATCTCGTAGAGCATGGAGGAGTCTTCCTGATGCCTAACCAGAAGTGTCATTCCTGTGGACCTGCACTCATGTTATTGGAAGGTATTCTGCACGCTACCAGAGAAGATAATCATCAACCCAGCTGAAAGCCTGTGACCTACAACGCTGAGCTGCCAGCAGGGCTGGTGCAGGAGTGGCACCAGAATAAAGAGTATCCACCTGCTTTCTGATTGGATGGGCTTAAGGCCCACTCTCTACCCATACCTGACACTGCTACAGTGACCAGGAACCTGAAACTAGACAGACCATGGGCCTAGGTTAAAACCAAATACTGATGAAGAATCAGGGCTGGAGAGATGGCTCAGAGGCTAAGAGCACTGTCTGCTCTTTCAGAGGTCCTGAGTTCAATTCCCAGCAACCACATCGTGGCTCATAGCCATCTATAATGAGATCTGGTGCCATCTTCTGTGTGCAGGCATACATGCAGGCAGAACACTGTATACATAATAAACAAATCTTCAAATAAAATTAAAAATTTTAAAAACAAATACTATGATTCTGCTAAAGGAACATGATAGAGTGAGTCCTAAAGACATTCTGCTATACCATAGATCAGTGACCACTCAGGGTCATCAGAGAGCCTTCTTCTTGAAGTAGACAGTAATTAACATAAAGACTCACAGCTGGACAATGTACAGAGTGAGAGGCTTTGGAACACTCAGGCCTAAATGGGATCTCTTCATCAAACCTCACCCCTCAGGTTCAGGGATCTATGTGGAAGAGAGAAGGAGGGGAGACTGTAAAAGCCAGAGGTGATGGATTTTAAGCAAACTGTGTCTTCCAGGCAGAAAAGGACTGAGATGCACAGGTGAGCTCACAGAGACTGTGGCAGCATGTACAAAGCCTGCACACATTCAAGTCAGATGGGGTCCCAGCACCGAGAGCGGGGAGCAGACACGGGTTCCTACCCCTATCCAAGAAGCTAGCTGTAACTGACACCCACCAGTGAAGAAAAAAATCACCTTTGTCTCTTCTCGCCCTCGCTCTCTTGTCTTACTGGACTTATGTTTATATATTACAGTTTCCAATTTGGGGAGTGTTTCTTGGTTTCCTACTTTTTTTTTTAACAAGAGAGAGAGAAACAGAATATGAAGTTGGGATGGTAGGGAGGTGGGGAGGACCCAGGGGGAACTGGGGAAGGGGAAACCATGATTAAACTGTATTGTATGAAAAAGAATCAGTTGCATATCTAAGAGTTGGAGTTCTAGATGGTGGCACCTGCTGTGTCTCCTGCCTGTTTGTTGATACACTTGCTATTGGCAAACGCTGAGGGGTGCAAAAGCTACCACAGATCACTGAAAAAGCCTCTTTCCTGCCCACAGTTTCTATCGGAGGAGGGCAAGAAGGAAATTGCTCACACTTTGCCATCCACACCTCACATTTCCACAGGTACTGGCCCCTCCTCACTGTCCCTACCCACCAAAAAACACATTCTCGTCCAGATACCAGCCCCAGCTAACAAGAGAAAAGAAAGGAAGTCTCCTCACCTTCTCTCGAAACTTCCTTTCCTTCTGCTCCTGTGCTGTGGTCAGGTAGTTGACAGCCGCGTACTCCAGCACGGACAGGAACACAAACACGAAGCTGACCCAGAGGTAGATGTCCACGGCCCGGATGTAGGACACTCTGGGCATGGAGGCGTTCACGCCCGTGATGATGGTGGACATGGTCAGCACTGTCATGATGCCTGTAAAACCATCTTAGTTCAGCTGCCGACCCACCCAGACCTGTGTCCCCATCCCACAGTCACAATTTTATATTCTGTCTCTTAAACAGAGTGAGAGTTTCCCCGGATGTATCTCCACCCAGTGGGCGTGTGAGTGAGGCTTCTCCCTAACAATCAGCCCTTCCCTGACTCACCCCTTCCAGCCAGCTCCCCATTTTCAGTCACCTCAGGAGTCTGATTTTCTGTTATGTAGCTGACAAGGCCGTGCCTCATAAGGGACCGCGTGTGGTGTAGAATTAAAAACAGTAAGTCAAGGACACCTCTGAAGGAATAAGCACTGCTCTACTTGGCTACACCACATTATTAAGCTCTGTCCAGTGTTGACCTCCGTGGACTGCCTCATGTTCATCGGGTCTACGTGGCTTTATCCAAATTGCAGCGCTCAGAGCCAGCAAGTCTGAAGGAACCCAGCCCTCACTCTGGGAACCGCATCTTGCAGCCCACTTCCAGCCTCAGCTAGCCACACCAGCAAGGTTTTGGGATTTACAGAACAGCTCTTCTACATTTGCTACAATCATTTATCTACTCTAGTGCTGCACTCTCGAACTGCCGCATAAAGGCCATACCTCACATTGGCTCTACCTGTGTGGACTGAGGCAGTCTGCAGTCTGATCTTAGTTCCCCAGGTTTTCACAATATGGTACCTCAGACTTGATGAGGACCGAGTAGGCAAGAGGCAGCAAAGTCCACTTTTGACCCACAAGCTCATCAGTTAAGACTTCTAAGACTTACTTTACTTTTTATTTTACAAAAAAAAAAAAAAAAAAAGTCTCTAAATAGCCCAAGTTAGCTTCAAACTTAGAGTCCTCCAGCCCTCCCCAAGTGCTGGAATTACATTATGGAGCCACCATGCCCAGACCATGGCTTTAATTCTTCATGACCTAGTGGTCATCTGAAAAAAAACAAACCAAACCAAAATCATCCTACCACACCTTATCAAATACTTTTACCCAGTGAAACTCTGGCAGGCACAGCTCTGTGGTCGATCCAGAAGGACACCCAGGACAGCATGACCATCAGGGTGGCAGGGAAATAGGTTTGGAGCAAGAAGAAGAAGATATGACGATGCAAAGTGAAGTTGATGTAGAGACGGTTGTACCAGCCTGGGGGCACAGGAAGAAGGAATGAGGCTCCATCCAGAGCATCCCTGACTCTTCACCACCACAAAAAGCAGAGGCTAAGGTCAGGAGGCTTGACAGAGTGCGCGTCTCCTGTCTGCTAGGTCCACCTTGTCAATAGCTGGTACACTGCCTTGCAGAATATGATCTAACTTTTCCCAGCAGTCTGGGGAAAAGGGAGAAGGAAACATACAGATTTCGTTGTTGGTTTGGTATATATTACTTACAAACTACCACTGTATGTCTGGCTGCTCAGGAGCTTAAGAAGTTAAAGCAGTTCTGTCTGGTCGAGGTTAGCATTGATGGGTCAGGAAACAGAAGAACTGGCCTCTCATTCTGGTCCCCTTAATCGCTGAGTTGGTTGCTCACTCACTCAAGCACACCTCACCCCACATTTGCTTAGTCCTGTCAGCTCTGTTTCCCCCGCTCCAGATGGCATCCACAAAGGAAACCACATTGCTCATTAGGTTTGACCAGACTCTCCCCTGAAAAGGCTGAGAGCTGCCTCTAGGCTGGTAAGGCCTGCTTCATCATCCTTGCTTCTACTCAAAAAAAGCAGGGGAAACACAGTGTTTCCCAGTTGGAGACTGGGAGAGAAAAGAGCTATGAACCTGTGCGGAGGGTGTAACTCCTGCATGCGAGCCCACCCCTGAGGCAGTGTGCAGGTCACAGTGAATGGTGAGAATGGAAGATGCATTTGAGTCTGAGCTCCAGAAAGGCTCGAATGGGAAAGAAAATAGACCAGAGCTCTGTTACAGCACAGAGGCCACCAAAGAGACAAACGTGATCTCTCACAGCTCTGAAACTTGAATCAATAGCTTAATCCTTAAGTCTCAGCTTCCTGGTCTGAAATCAAAGAATAATAATATCTAAATCTTGGGTTTGTGGGGTAGCAGTTCCTTTATACCAAGCGCCACATAGCAGAAGCTCTGTGAGACACACTTAGCAGTGGCTTCACGATCTGAATTTGTTAAGAATAGAGAAGAGGGCTGCAGAGATGGCTCAGTGGCTAAGAGCACTGGCTGGTTGTCCACAGTCACCCACGTGGGTGACTCACAACCATCTGTAAGTCCAGCTTTAGGGAACTTGATGGCTTCTTCTGACATCTGATGGTACCAGGCACACATGTGGTACACATAAGGCAAACACTTATCTACATAAAACAAAGTAAATCTTTTTTAAAAGAATATTAAACAAGACAGCAACTCCAGAGACTAGATGAGGAAGTTGTGTGTGTGCATCAGTTAAAGCGATGGGGACATTGGGCATGCAGTGGAGCGGGCCTGGGGCATTGGGCATGCAGTGGAGCGGGCCTGGGGC